GCTAAGATGCAAGTGGTCGGAGCTGATGGCCCGATGATTTGTAGGGTGTTCTTTCCTACCCTCGTTGGCCCAGCGCAGCGATGGGTTTTTACCTTGGCACATGGCTTGATCGTTAACTTTGAGGACCTGACTGATCAATTCTTTACACACTTCGCTGGGAGCATGAAACCTAAGAGGTACATCTCAGATTTAGCCCCAGTGCATCAGGATGAGGGAGAGAGCCTGTGCAAGTACATATAGCATGCTGGCAAAAGGAGGCCCAAGTGGTCGAAGGCTTAAACGATAAGACAACCTTGACCTTTTTCATTGAATCCTTGCGCGATGACGGGCATTACAGCAAGCTGCGTGATGAGAATCTTAAAAATTACGCCTAAGACATTCAGAGGGCCGACCAGCTTACCAATACCGAGGAGGCAGTCAAGCAAAAAAGAAAGCAAGAGGGCTCTGTGACGAATAAGCGACCCTAGTCGAACAACCATCGCAATAAACAGTTGGAGGGAGTAGGCAGTGTGCGCATAGAGACACATCGGGTACAGGACTGGTTGGGTGCCCCTGTTTACAGGCCACCCGCACAACCCATCAGCTACCGCCGCCGCCCCGAGTCAGACCTGGAGACAACCCCCAGGTTATCGATCTGAACGCCACTCTTTATTGCTGGTATCGTCGCACAAATACTCAAACAACGGAAGAGTGTGAAGGGCTTAGAGATGAGATTAAGGCAATCATCCAGCGTGGTCGACTGGTACCTCCCAATCAGTGGAGTCCGCTGGGACTGCCTCGCATAATGGGACCGCACCTAGACTAGTTAGTAATGCAGTCGACAAGGGTAAGAAGCCCGCTCGGGAGGAGGACAATGAGAAGAACTGGAAGCATAAGCCGGTCATTAACATGATAGTCAGGGGTCTGGAGGGTGTAGATACCGCAGGCGCTCAGAAAGCCTTGACCAGGCAGCTCTATGTCAGGGCGATTGCCTTACAAGAGTCAGACATTAAAAGACCCTACTGCGAGCCAATCACTTTCATAGACGATGATTTTCCTAGGGGCCCGACTCTGCACCGAGACACCTTGGTCATTGCGATGGACATAGAAGGAACAGTAATCAGACGAGTCCTAGTCGACACGGGTAGTAGTGTGAATGCAATTTACTTAGGCACTTATAAGAAGTTAGGATGTCCTTTAGAGCGTGACAAGCTCTTACGCGTCAAAAGATTGGGATGAATCTTGAGTTTATATCGTTCTCAAGGGATGACAAATTGGAAGAGTCAAAAGACATTGAGGTGCGACAAGTGATTGCCATTCATGCACCCCATCACGAGTTTGTACATGATTAAGTCGAGTTGTAGCAAGCAAACAAATGTAAATAATTAACTAGATCAAGTGTAAAAACAAGGATAGGATTGTTCATCTCTCATGATGCATTTAGGATCATTAGCATAGATTAGGATATCGCAAGAGTAGAGGTATGTGAAGGTATGCTAAGTCCGTTCACCTCTCGGTATACTAGGATTCCTCTCGGTTTAGAGCACTTTTTAAGTGACTAAATACCTAAGAGTCATTTCTTCGAACACCTTGGCCGCACTTCATTCCTAGTTTCATCCTCCCGGATATTGAACTAGGAAATGCCAAAGAGATAGGTCTCCAAGTGATCTAGCAATCCCTTGCTTAGATCCACTTGAGGAGTTGACCGGACTCCACAAGAAGCATACAAAGCATTCAAAGGCAACACAACTCATAAACATGGGAATGTAAACTCATAAAATTGCAATATCAAAACCTAATTAAGAATTGTATCTCACATTGGCATCATGATTGAGATTCACAATCCTAATCCTATTTAAACCTAGCCACACATAGCTAGATGAAATAACATTGCATAAAAATTGAAATAGTAATCAAAATAAGAAATAGAAATTGAAGTATGAAAGCAATAGATTGTACCAAACTAGAATGTAAATCAATGTCTTCTTCTACAATGAATCTTGAAGGGAAGGTTGTCAATCTTCTTCTCCGAGATCTTCAAGCTATGAGAGTCTGGAACCCTAAAAATCAAGTGTGAGAAGGTGTTTCAAATATGCAAAAAAAAATGAACTCCACTAATTCTTCCGCCAATTGCATTTTGAAGCCGACGTGCTGCCTTCCCACGCCACGATCCACGTGCGTGGATCAGTTACTTAATCCTAGTCTCGCCTCCTCCCACACACGTAGAGAAGGTACGTGGAAGTTTCTTTCTTGCTTCCACGCACGCTCCCACGCACGTGGGCCTCTGCGTGGATCTTTCTGTCTCGTTTCCATGCAGGGTCCCACGCGCGTGGCTGGTCCCAACACGGCTCCGATTTTTCCCCTTTCCTTGTGATGCTCGTTTCATGCCCATATGCCTCTGTTTCACGCTTAAAACCTTTATCAATCATAAGAATACAAAGTAGAGTGGTGTTTTGCAGGACATTAGCAATTACAAGCATAAACGACCATAAATCGTGCACAAAGGATATCAAATGGATATACTATGCCCTCTTAAAAACCCTAAAAGATGTGTGTCTTTGGCACTTATCACAAGTTTCCACACTTTATTCTTGCTCGTCCTCGAGCAAGGTCTTAATCATTTCAAGGAAAAGATAAGTGACAAAGATACACCTAAGATAACTCAAGATGACCTAACTAAGACCAAACATCGGATTAGCGAACTTACCTGACCATAACTCTAAGCAACACAAACCAAGGAAAAACTAAGATACCTTGAATAAACAAGCTGGGGTAGTGTTCCCTCATCGCATCCTCTAGTTCCCAAGTTGCCTCCTTGGTCTCATGATTGGACCATAGGACTTTTACCATCTTTACTGACTTCCTGCGAGTCCCTCTCCTCTTGGTATCTAAAATCCTCACGGGTCTCTTCTCATAGGACAAGGTCTCATCCAAACACACCACTTCGGGCTGAAGGACATGAGTAGCATCATGCACGTATTTCTTTAGTTGAGACACATGGAAAACATTGTGCACACGATCCAATTCGGCGGGCAAGGCTAGGCGGTAAACCAGATTCCCAACTCTTTCCAAAATCTCATAAGGACCACTAAATCTAGGGCTCAACTTCCCCTTTTTCCCAAATCTCACCACCCCCCCCCCCCCCCGGGTGGGAGAAATCTTCAACCAAACCTTTTCCCCCACCTGAAATTCCGCCAACCTTCTCCCCAAATCGGCATAAGACTTTTGGCGATCTTGTGCTGTCTTCATCTTCTCTTGGATGTATTTGATCTTTTCTATGGTATCTTGCAAGTACTGGGGTCCTAAGATTACGGGGTTAACCAAATCTTCGCTGCATAAAGGACTCCTACACTTCTGACCGTACAAAGCCTCGTAGGGTGTCATACGAATACTCGCGTGATAGCTATTGTTGTAAGAGAATTCAATTAGATCCAAGTGTTCCTCCCACGATCCCTGGAAGTCCAACATGCAAGCTCTTAACATGTCTTCAAGGGTTTGAATTGTTCTCTCCGTCTGACCATCGGTTGTGGGGTGGAAAGCGGTACTCAATTTTAATCTTGTCCCCATCGCTGCTTTTAGCAATTTCCAAAACTGAGAAAGAAACCTTGAATCTCTATCCGAAACAATGTCATGCAGAACCCCATGGTATTTGACCACTTGGCTTATATAAGCCTTGGCTAACTGGTCCATTGTCCAAGTTTCTTTCATAGTAATGAATCGCGCTGTCTTGGTCAACTGTTCCACAATTACCCATATCTTATCTTTACTCGTCCGCGTCACTGGTAGACCTCCCACAAAATCCATGGAGATGGAATCCCACTTCCCTTGGGGTATTTCCAGTGGTTGCACTAGTCCCTTGGACTTGCACCTCTCAGCTTTCACTTTTTGGCAGTTTAGACACTTGCTCACGAAACTTGCCACTTCCCTTTTCATGTTAGGCCACCAGAATTGTTTCTTCACATCCTTGTATAGTTTATCACCTCCGGGGTGTACCGAGTACGGTGAGTTGTGCCCTTCTTCCAAGATTTTTCTCTTTAGGTGTTCACACGTCGTGGGCACACACCACCGAACCTTATAACGAAGGCTCCCATCGTCAAACAACTCGAATGGTCCCCTTTTTCCTTCCGATATGCTAGATCTTATCTTATTTAATTGGCTATCTTGCAACTGTTCATTCTTAATCTCCTCAAATAGTGCGGGCATGACTCTCATGTTGAATAATTTGACCTCCGTATCCACTTGTCCTCGTTCTACCACCTCCATGTCCATTTTCTGAAATTCACTACACAACTCGTCTCCCAATACCCATGTAGTGTTAAGGGAATGATTCGGCTTTCTACTCAGTGCATCCGCCACTACATTAGCATTTCCCTCGTGGTATTGGATATCCAAGTCGTAGTCCTTTATGAGTTCCAACCACCGCCTTTGTCGCATATTCAGGTCATTTTGGGTGAAGATGTATTTTAGGCTCTTGTGGTTGGTGTAGATCTTGCACTATACCCCATACAGGTAGTGCCTCCAAATTTTCAAAGCAAAGACCACGGCTGCCAATTCTAAGTCGTGAGTAGGGTAGTTTTCCTCATGGGTTTTCAGCTGCCTAGATGCATATGCGATCACCTTACCGTTTTGCATTAGCACGCAACCAAGGCATTTCTTCGACGCATCGCTAAAAACTTCGAACCCCTCCAATCCAGATGGTAGTGCTAACACTGGTGCCGTAATCAACTTTTCCTTTAGCTCTTGGAAGGCCAGGTCGCAACTCGCATCCCACCGGAAGGGAATTTCCTTCTTCATTAGTTTTGTCATAGGTTGGGCCACTTTTGTGAAATCGGGCACAAATCTTCGATAGTACCCTACCAAGCCGAGAAAACTCCTAACTTCCGAAACTGACGTTGGTGTTGACCAATCCCTAACCGCTTGGATCTTCGCCGGATCCACCAAGATTCCTTCTTTGGTGACTACATGGCCCAAGAATGCACACTGTCCTTCCAGAATTCGCATTTGGAGAGCTTGGCATACAACTATTTTTCCCTTAGCATTTGTAAAACAGTCCGGAGGTGTTTCTCATGCTCCACATTGTCCTGAGAATAGACCAGGATATTGTCAATGAACACAATCACAAAGTCATCTAGATAAGGGCGAAACACGCGATTCATGATGTCCATGAATACCGCGGGGGCATTGGTTAGTTTGAAGGGCATTACTGTGAACTCATAATAGCCATAACGAGTTCGGAAATTCGTCTTTGGAATATCCTTGTCGTCTACCTTCAATTGGTGATATCCTGACCTCAAGTCGATCTTTGAAAACTCACCCGCTCCTTTAAGTTGGTCGAACAGATCATCGATTTGAGGGAGGGGATACTTGTTCTTCACTGTAACTTGATTCAACTCCCTATAGTCGATGCACAGTCGCAAGCTACCATCTTTCTTCTTAACAAATAACACAGGGGCTCCCCATGGTGAAGTACTAGGATAGATGTAGCCCTTGTCTAACAAGTCTTGTAACTGTGCATTCAATTCTTGCATCTCCTTCGGTGTCATTCTGTAAGGGGTTTTAGATTTGGGGCAGTGCCTGGCACCAAATCCATAGTAAATTCCACTTCCCCCGGTGGAGGCATACTAGGGATTTCTTCAGGAAAGACATCCGTGAACTCACTTACCACCGGTATTGGTTGAATCTCATCACTCTTGGTGTCCAAATCCTCTACGGTACATAGGAAAACCTCGTGTCCCTTGGTTAGGTACTTCTTCATCTCCAGCATGGATACTAATTTAACTTCTGGGTCCTTGACTGAGCCTCGGTAAGATACCCATTTTCCGTTTGGCCCCTTCAAAATTATTTTTTGTTTGCCACACAAGATTTGGACCTTGAATTGCCCTAGCTAATCCATTCCCAAAATCACTTGTATACCGTCTAGCCCAAACTAGATCAAATCACTGGGAAAATTCACTCCGCCTATGGTGACCATAACACCCTTGAACATACGGTCACACTTCATCACTTCTCCGGACACTACTTTGACATTTAACTGTACATTAGTGCCCGTTGTTAAACCCAGCTTTACTGCAAACTCGGCTGCTATAAACGACTTGGTGGCTCCTGAGTCAAACAACACGACGGCGGGTACAGAGTGCACGAGGAACATCCCAGTCACCACGTCACTGTCTCCGACCTGAGCTCTACTCATAGCAAGAATCCTTCCTTGTGAAACCTCGAGGTCGTCCTTCGAGACCTGAGTCACTGATATACCTTGATTTTGAGTGGTCTGACCATGACTTTGGTTCCACGACTGGGGTGTGCGATTGTAGTTGGGACTGACTGTGACACCCCAAAATCCAAATTCGATTAAGGGATTAATTAAATAATTAATCTTATTTCAATTGGTAATTTAATTCTTAAAATCCTGGAAATTCAATAGTCGGGGACTAGTAATTGACTAGTCAACCCCAAAGTCAAAGTTGTACCTTGAGCTTTGTAGGGAGTTCCCTTGTTCCCTTACACCTCTTCATGTTAGTAAGGGTATTCTTGACTTTTCATCTTGTGTTAGTATTGTAAGCTAACCTAGTAGAACACCCTCATTTCTCTCCTTACACTTTCCAAATTCTAGCTTCACCTTCTCTCTAAAAAGGTAGATAGCTTTTCTTCCAAGCCAAGTTGAAGCTTTGTCAAAACTTCAAGTGTTGTCTCCAAGATTCTACCTTTCATACATTTGGGCATCTAGGAGGGTAAGATCCATGTTCATCTTGTGTTTTTAGTATTTTCTAAGGTGTCTTTTCTTAAAGATAGAATATTTATGATCTTTTGGTGTGTTCTTGAAGTGGGTGTGGAAGGTGAGCTTTGTTAGGAGCTTGGTGAGGTGTTAAGAGAAGGTTTTTGTCTACAAGAGGTAACCCATGCTCTACAAAATCTATTTTGCTTACCTATATGATGATTTCTTGGATTCTACATGTGTTTTGCTATGAAATGTGAGTGTTTATGCATTGTCTTGTGAAAATGCATATCTAGAGCTTGTGTTTAGGGTTCTTGTATGCCATTGCTTGGCTATTCCTTTGATTCAAGTCATTTTGTTGTATTTGGTGAGATTTGGCATGTTTTGGACTTGAATTTGAGCTTGGTGTTGAAAATCCTCGAAGGGATTATGTTGGGACAGGAACGTACCCACGGGTGGAACAGCGGGTAGGCGTCCACCCGCAGGGTACATGTGGTCGTGGGTGTGTACCCGCGGGCGGAACCACGGGTAGGGGCCTACCCGTGGGTCCACCCGCGGGGAACATCATGGTGGTTGTTTGGGGATTTGTTCCCCGTGATTCTTTTGACTCGGTATTTGGTCTTTTGACTTCTCGATGTTCTTTGTGGAACTATTTGAGTGTCTTCTTGATGTTTCGTATGTCTAGAACTATATGGTAGGAATCCATGTAGGTTTTGGTGTCTTGAATCGTGCTAAGTGTTCAACATTGTGATTCGTTGAACCGTGATGAGTCTTGTGTGTTCTTCGGAACTACGTTTGGTTTACCCGTTTGATAAGCATGCTAGTTCGGTGTTTAAATGCTAGCATGTGTGTTGTTTGTACCTTCCTATTGTTGATGATAACTTGTGTTATTCATCGTTATTGTTGTTAGACTGTGATCCATTCCTTGATTGAGTATGGTTTCATATCTTCGTTGTGATCCATTGATTGATTCATGTTGAGGTGTGATGTGTGTGTGGCTTTACCTGGATTGCACGATTAGTGGTATGGGACACTAGTCACCAAGGTATTGCAGTGGTCCTCGTGGTGGCCATGCCGTGATTATGGAGTTGTGACCTGTGTGTCAGGTTCATGTATTTCTTGGGAGGCGTGTGTCGCCGTGTGTGTCATCGGTACCCTCGTGTACTATGAAATTGGTGGTCTTGTTGGTGGTTTGTTGTTGGGAGACGACGGTCCCAGGAGGGAAAAGGTTGGACTAAGAAGTACAGGGGTCCTGGAGGTAACGGTTGGAACTAGACATAAGGTTGGGGGTAGCCATAAGGTTGGAACCGGGCATAAGGAAGGCATATCAACTCGTGATGGGTGATGTCACGAGGGCTTGTGTAGCTGTTGTTGTGAGTTCTCTTCTTGTGATGTGTGTAGTCACAAAGGCATGTGTTGCCGTTTGGTGTGTCCTTATTCCTTTGAGTTATGCATGTCGGGTATTAATCTATTGTGTGATGATAGATTATACCTTGAGACTTCTTGTGAGTCGTTGTTGGTCTTCGTAATCTTGGGATGTGTTCCCGTGTTCTCGTTGAGAGTGTTTGAGTCTTGTGTTGACTATTACTCTTGGTTTTGGACTTATATATATGTATTCCGTTTCGAAAATGGCTTTACAAACTTATATCTTATCTATGTATGATATTTCACATGTATTGGTGGGTTACCAGCATTATTCGCTGACCGGGCGTCGTCCCATGTTTTATATGCTTCTTTCAGGTGATGCTTAGACGAGTGCGCGGTTTAGTGCCAGCTAGAGTAGCTCATCCCTTATGTTTTGTGGCCTGTGAGCCAATTTAGACTTAGTACTTGATGATGTTTGGTTTTAGATTTTGAACAATGCAGATGTTAGCCTGTGCGTTCACCCTTGGGTGAGCGTGGCATAGCACCCCTTTACTTCCAGTTTATATATTTCCTCTTTCGGTCTTCCGCTGTGTTTGATGTTTTGGTTTAGATATCTGCATGTTTAAGGCTTTAAATAGCATGGAAATTAGGGGGTGTCACACTGACTTTCGTAGAAGTCCCACTTTTAATCCATCGTTCCATCGGTCCTTGCGTATTTTGAGGTGAGGTAATCCTGGCTGTCCTTAGTTTACCTGGAGGGATGACCATACTTTCCTTGATCTTCCTCTTATTCGATTCAGGAGTTCTCGGTAGAGCTAAGTTTTTTTCCAGAGAAATTGGGGAACAAATTCATGAGGGTGTTTCAGTTTTCAGGTCGGGTCATTCTTGGGCAGAACTATGCTAATCTTCTCTGTCAAATTATATCGTGCACCGCGGTGCATAATCGATTATGCACTGCGCATCAAAATGACGTCGTTTTATTAAACGAAAAGAAACGGAATCCGTTTGGCGCCGTTCCGCAAAAAATAACTCTGTTCTTCAGTTTCATTTTGTGTACACTGCAGTTTCAGTTCAACACAACTACAGTTTCATTTCGATATAACTACAGTTTCATTCAATATTTATACACTCAAATATGTGAAAATGTTATTTAATGTATCATTTTGATATAACTGCAGTTTTATTTGATAATATAAAAATAATACGTGAGGCAGTGTCGGTTTAGATACACTGTAGTGTCACTCCGTTAACACTAATAGCGCGTCGTTTCTTTACTTAAAGAAACGGCGTCGTTTTGATGTGCGGTGCTTAATCGATTATGCACCGCGGTCTACGATATAACGACTGATCTTCTCTGTATCGTTCCAATTTTATCGGAGGTCTCCGAAGAGGATTTCATCGCTCTGAGTCTTCAGTATATACAGCGTGTAAACGAGTGTTTTGTAGTCGATGTGGGAGATGTAAGACGTTGAATACTTGAACGTTTGAAAAGCCCAAGAACAACGCATACTAGCCCATTACACTAAACCACCAATCGTGTCGATGAACACGGATGCAAACGACGTCGTTTCTCTCTTGGTGGAGTAACGGTGTCGATAATGGCATCGTTTAACTCCACCAATCAAATTTTTTTTTTTTAATTATAAAACTGCAATTGACGCCATTTTTTCACCATTATTCATCGTTTCCTCTCCAACACGCTTCCCTCCACTACAGAGCTCCATTCTCACCATTTTCATCGCCACTCCGCCGCTCTACTCGCCTTCTTCATCGTTGTTGTCAACGTCTTCACCAAGAACGTGTTTGCAGTATGCTTTTTCTCACCAACCTAGTTCAACTTCGTCTTTAAATAGATATTATGCATTTTACATTGTCACGTTATGAATTTATAGAACATAAGCATGAGTATTCAATATACATTTTTGTGATTTCGGGCTAGGGTTTTGGACTGTGAAAAATACATATGGATGTGTATTTATATAATTATGAAAATGTAGGTTTATCATTATGAATGTATTGTTTATAGCTTCTGAATATATGACAATATCATTCCTGTCTTCTCTTTGGTGCCTTTAAAAATACCTATGGATTTGTAGTTATACAATTCTGGATGTGTGGTTATGAAGATATGGATTTGTAGATAAGCAATTCTGAATGTGTAATTATGAAATTATTGATGTATAGTTGCGCAATTCTGGATGTATAGTTATGGAGTTATGGATGTGTAGTTATGCAATTCTGAATGTGTAGTTATGAAGTTATGGATGTGAAGTTATGCAATTCTGGATTTATAGTTATGGAGTTATGGATGTGTAGTTATACAATTATGGATGTATAGTTATGGAGTTATGGATGTGTAGTTATACAATTATAGATTTATAGTTATGAAGTTATGGGTGTGTAGTTATGCAATTATGGATGTATAGTTATGGAGTTATGGATGTGTAGTTATGTAATTATGGATAA